GTGTTTTGTTTTCCTCTCTACTGCGCACAATAACGTGTTTTTATCTGCAAACGCGTACATTTCGATGCACTTGCGATTATCCTCAACATTAGAACACCTGAAAACACAAAGAGAAATATATAGCCATACATGGGATGCATTTTTTGGTCAACGTTTTCAAAAGTCTTTGTTTTCACTTGTCTTCGCACAAAATGGAGCGTTTTCAGAATGCTTCGCTTTTAAAGATGTTGACAAAAAGTCTCCGTGTTCATCATCATTTACGGGCGTTCTAGTATAGATGATTTAGCAAAAACGCAACAAAAACTATGCCATATCAAACTAAAACGCCTCATTAGTGTAGATGTGCAACTTTTATTTAGCTAGTTTTAGCTATGGTCATTGTTACTTCTATGTACGCTCTACAAAAGAACTCATTGAGCGTCGATTAATTCAAAACTTCAACATCCCTGCCGGGGCGACCCCCCGAGTATTTGAACTGTTGAAGATTGGTAATTTACTAATTTTCGGCATGCTAGTCAGCGGTATCTTTAAACAGCTTGGTAGGCAACTTATGTATGGGCAGTTATTATGTCCCCAATACATATTAGGTCCTGTACTTCACATACATATAATGTCCAACACATATAACCCTACACAGCTATACAGCGCTATTCAGAGCTATAAACAGCGATACAGGACTATAAACAGCAATACAGGACTATAAAGAGTGATACAGGACTATAGACAGCTATACACAGCTAAACAGAGTTATACACAGCTATATAGGGCCATATAAGGCAATACACAGCTATAAAGAGCTATACAGAGCTATACACAACTATACAAAGCTATACACAGCCATACAGAGATATACACAGCTATACAAGGCTATACAGGGTTAAACACAGCTATACACAGCTATACACAGCTATACACAGCTATACACAGCTATACACAGCTATACAGAGCTATACACAGCTATACAGAGCTATACACAGCTATACAGAGCTAAACACAGCTATATAAGGGTATACACAGCTATACAGGGCTATACCCAGCTATGCACGGCTGTACAGGGCTATACACAGCTAGACAGGGCTATACACAGCAATACAGAGCTATACAGGGCTATACACTGCTATAAAGGGCTATACACAGCTATACAGAGCCATACACAGCTTAACAGAGCTATACACGGCTATACAGGGTTACACACAGCTATTGTTACAGGGCTATATACCATTATACAGGGCTATACAAAAGTATACAGAGCCACACACAGCTTAACAGAGCGCTATACACAGCTATACAGAACTATGCACGGATATACAGAGATGTGTAAAAATGGTTGGAAGAAATATTGAATTCTGGTTGCTATTCTATTGAACATTTGTGATCGAAATAGTAATCTATTTATACAGTTTACATGTTGGTTAGTGAGGTAAAATTGAGTCAAACATTCATACGACAACGTGTTAAAAAAATTTTCACAACTAATTTGTAAGGTTAGCCTACCTGGAACAATCACTTTCATTTACAAATTAAACCAGGCCTGTACTGATGATGCCCAAAAGAACCCTCTGTGGTAAGAGGACAGGCTTTCCTTTCTTCATTTAAAGAAATACTGAGGTTACCATCTTTCCACAAGCTCAGTGGAAATTGAGAGTGAATGAGACTGATAGCAACTATGTTATTTGGATAAATATCCAAAAGAGGATAAAAAGTAAGATATGGTCTGCACAATTCTCTTATTTTAATTTTTTAACCTATCAAGCTAAGGCATTTATATTCTTGCTTTGTGCATTATATGGACGTCAATTAATTTAACCCTTTAACTCCCAGAAGTGATTAACATAAAACTTCTCCCTACAATATCCATACATTCTTCAGCAAACAGGTAATGAGAATATTCAAACTTATCAGGTAGAAGCTGCTATCTTGATCTAGCACCAAGTTCTCAAAACTAATTTAAAAGGAAACGTGTAGCAGCTACAGAGGAGAATCAACAATCAGATCTTGGGAGTTAAAGGGTTAACTTTTATGTATCAAAATACAAAAAATGTTCTCTTCATCTATGTGCCCCAAATATTACAGGGGAGGAGGCAGGTCAAAGTAAAAACATGAATTAAAACAGGAGGGCCCCCATTTATTTCAGTCCTAATTAAAGGAGGATCCTTGCTTTTCCAGATTCCCACCCTTTAAAACTTACATATCTCATGACCATTTCCAGATATCAATGTTTAGTTTTTGTGCTGTATTCGATTTACGTTTACATTAATTCAGCCTCGCTTCCGTTCATGATTCGATGTATGATCACTTCCGGTAATGGCGACGACACATGTTAGAAGTTATTAAAAGTTCTGTGTTGAAATCAAAGAATATATCTCCGTTTCTCGTGCCATCCGAACACCACATGGTGTCAGAAGTGGGAAAGAAGATATAAACTGTGTCCAGAACGGATATTTAGCGATCAGTGATCAGGAATTACGCGGAAATATGGCTACGAATCTTCCACCACCGAAAGCTCTTTGTCTATCGGGAAATGCAAGTGAGAATTTCAAGTTGTTCAAGCAGCAGTACGAATTATATGTGAACGCCATTGGATTATCTACTGCCAGTAAGGAAAGGAGAAGTGCTATACTGCTAAATCTCGCAGGTGAGGAGGCGCTGAAAATCTACAATGGCTTCACATGGGCTCCAGCGGTAGGTGACCCCGAAGGGGAGGAACATGTACCAGCAGAGGACAAACTGGATCCGGAATTAATTCTGGAGAAATTCCAGAGGTTCTGCACGCCGAAAACAAATGTTACTTATGAACGTTACAAGTTTCACAGGTATACGCAATCAGAAGGTGAGAGTTTCGATAATTTCTTATCACAAATTAACACTCTCGTGTCTACGTGTGCCTACGGTGAACTAAAGGACGATTTTGTCAGAGATAAGATCGTATTGGGTATAAATAGTGATAAGGTCAGAGCACGGCTGTTGAGAGATGGTGAACTGACTTTAGAAAAAGCGATAAATGAGTGTAGAGCAGAAGAATGTTCTGGAAGGTGGGCTCAGGATATAAAAGGAGAGACTTCTAAAGTGCAGGCAGTTCAACATAGGCGGAAAGGAGGCCCTCGTGACAAGGGACCACGTAGTAACGGGCAGCAAAGAAGTGCATCAAATTGCTCCCAGGCGTCGAATAGCCGGTCATGCCGGTGGTGTGGAAAGGAGGTGCACCCCAGAGAAAGATGCCCTGCAAAAGACAGTAAATGTAACAAGTGCAAACGCCCAGGACATTGGGGCAAGGTCTGCAGGAGTAGTAAAGGAAAAGGGTCTGTACAAGAGGTAGCAGAAGTGCAGTCTGACTCAGATGAGTACTACTTCTTAGGAAGCATCAGTGATGAAAGTTACTCTATTGAGAGTATCAACAACAGGAAACGTAGGAGTGCATGGTTTACGGAAGTCCAGGTGTCAGGTCAGAGCCTGAAATTTGCTGTTGATACTGGAGCAGATGTGACAGTCATTTCCAAAGCTGTGTATGATACACAGTTTTCACACTTCATTTTGCAGAAGCCTGACAGGCCTCTTAGTGGCCCAGATCAAAGCAACCTTTCAACTCTTGGATTCTTTACTGCAGAACTAAAGAAAGGTGATCAGACAATCACAGAGGATATATATGTGTTCCCCAAAGGCTCTCTATTGCTAGGTAGAGACGCTTGTGCAGATCTAGGTGTCGTTAAGTTCATTGGAAAAGTTACGTCAGATCCTATCCAGTCAGCGGAGTTCGGATCAATGTTCAAAGGCTTAGGAAAGCTAGAAGGAGAATATAAGATTAAGATCGAGCAAAACGCAGAGCCATACAGTGTGATGACTCCCAGGAGGATATCTATTCCACTACTTCCTCTAGCCAAAGCTGAACTTGACAAGCTTATCGAGCTAGATGTTATAGAACGGTGCACAGAACCATCGGAATGGTGTTCTCCTATGGTCGTGGTGCCTAAAGGAAATGGCAAAGTGAGGATCTGTGTGGATCTCACGAAGCTTAACGAAGTAGTGAAGAGAGAAAGAATCATGCTCCCCACAGTGGATTATACAATTGCTCTGATGGGAGGTGCTAAGGTTTTCTCTAAACTGGATGCCAATGCGGGCTTCCACCAAATCTGCTTGGATGAAGATTCAAGGAAACTGACCACGTTCATCTCACCATTTGGTCGATTTCGATATAAGCGAATTCCCTTCGGTATCAAATCTGGCCCTGAGAAGTTTCAGAGTGAGATCTACCGAATACTAGGTGGTCAACAAGGAGTGGTATGTCTCATGGATGACATTGTCGTGTTCGGAAAGAACCAGGAGGAAGATGACGAGAGACTCGTACAGACATTAACACGGCTGAAAGCAGCAGGTGTCACCTTGAATAAGGATAAGTGCCAATTCAGCAAAAGCCAGATTGACTTTCCAGGTCATCGGATCGGAGTTAATGGTGTGGAAAGCTCTCCAGAGAAGGTTGAGGCTATATTGAAAATGCGTGCTCCAGAGAATGTGAGTGAGGTAAGAGGTCTGATGGGTACAGTGAACCAGCTCATGAAGTTTGTACCCAACCTTGCTACTATGACACAACCTCTACGTGAACTCTTGAGCTCTCACAGTGCATGGTGCTGGGGTCCAGCACAGGAACAGGCTTTTAAAGAGATTAAACAATGCTTGACGAGCAGCCCAGTGTTGCAAATATATGATCCTTCACTAGAGACCAAGGTGTCAGCAGATGCGTCTTCATACGGACTTGGCGGAGTGCTTTTGCAAAAGCACGGTGACAGGTGGGCGCCAGTGGCGTATGCGTCCAAAAGCCTTCTGGATGTAGAGAAAAGGTACGCCCAGATTGAAAAGGAGGCCTTAGCTAGTACCTTCGCATGTGAACGATTCACAGATTACATTCTGGGAAAGGATATTATACTAGAGACTGATCATAAGCTCTTGTACCACTGCTATCCACGAAGGAGTTGGATCAACTACCCGTACGTATTCAACGAATGAGAATGAGGCTCATGAGATACTCGTTCACACCTGTTCATGTGCCAGGAAAACTGTTGTACACTGCCGACACGCTATCCCGTTCTCCAACACCAGCCAAATCAGGTGATTCATTTCATGAGGAAGTGAACTTATATGCTCATCAAGTCATAGCTGGAATGCCTATCAGTGATAGCAAATTAGATGATATTATGATCCATCAACAGGAGGATGAAGCATGCAGGCAAATTATGAACTATGTAGCTGAAGGTTGGCCTGAAAAACATAATGTCAAGGGTTTAGTCAGCCCTTATTTTGCTCATAGAGCAGAGCTGACAGTGGTTAAAGGGCTGTTGATGATGGGACCTCGAGTCGTTATACCATCGTCTATGAAATTGGAAGTCCTGGATAAGATCCACGACGGTCACCAAGGGATTGTCAAGTGCAAGGCATTGGCCAGAAACACAGTGTGGTGGCCAAGCATGATGAAGAATATAGAGGAGTTAATTGAAAACTGTCGCAAGTGTCAGTCTAACAGGAAAAATCCTCCAGAACCTCTAGTTCCTACCATGCTCCCACAACGACCATGGCAATACATAGCCACTGATGTCTATGAACTCAATAAAAGACTGTATTTAGTAATGATTGATTACTACTCCAGATGGATAGAGGTAGCTAGTCTGAGTTCAACCGCCTCAGCAGAGGTCATAGACAGGATGAAACGTGCATTTTCCAGATTCGGAATTCCAGATCAAGTAAAATCTGACAACGCCAGCTACTATACATCAAGGGAATTTAAGATGTTCACTTTAGATTACGGGTTTCGACATGTCACTAGCAGCCCAGGTCATGCTTCAGGCAACGGTGAAGCAGAGAGAGCAGTGCAAACAGCTAAACGTCTCCTAGCTGGCTCTCAAGATCCTTATCTTGCTTTGCTACAGTATAGAGCGACACCATTGGCTAATGGTTATTCTCCAGCTGAGCTAATGATGTCAAGGAGGCTAAAAACCAAAGTGCCGGTGGCCCCGTCTCAGCTGTCCCCAAACCTTGTGCAGAATCATGCCCTACGTCAGTTTGAAGACAATCACAAAACCAAACAGAAGCTGCACTTTGACAGAAGGCATTCAGCGAGGCCTCTTGTTCCCTTAGAGAAGGGAGATGAAGTGATGGTACAAGACAGAGGACAGTCTGGAATAGTAGTGGAGAAGTGCACACCTCGTTCTTATGTGATCCATACGGACACTGGGTCATATAGAAGGAATAGAGTACAGATCAACAAGATACCACCCCCACCCCCAGCTGCAGCTACATCTCCAGCCAAACCCACACCGGTGCCAGTACCTCCATCACCTAAACTTCCTTCACCCCAAACTGCTAACACTGCAGAAGGAACTGGCACATCAAAAGTGTACACCAGATCTGGCCGTCAATCTAAGCCCTCATCTAGATTGAAGGATTATGTGCCATAAGTGAAGTTATACTTTCTGGCCAGATTTTCTCTGGTTTCTCAGACAGAAAGTCATAACTATGAACGCGTATTCTAGTGTGTGTGAGACTTAGTGCAGAGACAAACGACAATAGCTACCCAGGATGTGTTTCTTAACAAAATGACGATTACTTGAGGACATTTGATTGACGTTGTTTTGATTTTGAATTTCACGCTAGATAAGAAACAAGTATGTCTAAGTAGTTTCTCTTTTATTATCTTAAAGGGGGAGATGTGCTGTATTCGATTTACGTTTACATTAATTCAGCCTCGCTTCCGTTCATGATTCGATGTATGATCACTTCCGGTAATGGCGACGACACATGTTAGAAGTTATTAAAAGTTCTGTGTTGAAATCAAAGAATATATCTCCGTTTCTCGTGCCATCCGAACACCACAGTTTTACTATGAACATTGGTAAGAAACACCATGTATAATGAAAGCTTGAGCAAGAGTATTAAATGCAATCTGAATAATAATATTACATGTTACAATGCAGTAAGTTACTCAGCAAAATTATATAATCACACAATTCCAAACAAAGAAAGTCAGGTTATTGAGGGCTAAAAGTACAGAGAAATAGATATGGTAAACAGTTACAATTCATGCAAAGTTGAAAGTTTGAAAGCTGAAAGATATACCTTACAATCATCAGACCTTATACATCCTGTCAATTACCACCATAACTTCTCCCAAACCTTCATTGTAGGAAATAATTAATTTTTGTTATTGGGTGGTACTGTACTTAAAATACTTCTACTGACACAAATACATTTTTCTACAGTTATCTCATAGCATATGACTGTACAGGTCATGTGGATGGTTCCTGCATGGGGACTGACATTTCAATTACCCCACCAAACTTTAATAATCAGAATTGCAAGCTATGGTGTATTTGCCAAGTGCTCAAGTTTTCAAATTAGTCACCTAACTGTTACATTGGAGTTCACTCTTTTTTGAGGCTATCTTCAGCTTGATCATCCTGTTACATAAGAAAACATCGAATGTTACTCACATATTCCAATAATTACCTCAATGAAAAGTTATAATTTTTTTTAAAATAACCTGCTTCCTTTAACCCTTTAACTCCCATGTGTGATCAAAAGAGAATTTCTCCTTACAATATCAATACAATATCAAGCAGACAAGTGAGGAGAATAAATAAAAATATTAATTAAAGGATTATTGGTTGATCAAATACCAAATTCTCAAAACTAACATCACAAGAACTATGTGGCAGACAGTAAGAAGAATTACTAATGAGATCTTGGAAGTTAAAGGGTTAATTGTCTCCAGAAATAGTAAATGGTATTGAAGAGAAAGGAAAAAAGTTCTTGAAACATTCTATGTTAAATGAAACTTTGTTATGAATGTTAACCCTTTAACTGCCATGAGTGACCAAGAAAGAATTTTCCCCTACAATATCAATTGATACAATATCAACCAGATAAGTGATGAGATTAAAGACAAATACTGTATCAATTTGGGGATAATTAGTTGATCCAATACTAAATTCTCTGAACTAACATTGTAAGAATTGTATGGTTGACAGTAAGGAGAATTACAAATTTGATCTGGGAGTTAAAGGGTTAGATGCAAAGCAATTACACAACTAATATTATAATAATATTTGGTGGCCTAATGCAGCTGCTGGTGCGAGAACTGATAATGATGATGAACAAAGGAATTTTTTATTGTAAAAATACACAAAAATGCCATCGAAGAAACAAATATGGAAGCAATCCTCCCAGTTAAGAACACTACTTATTAATAAGCAGTTATACTGTTGTGAAAATTAAAGGCCTGAAAAATTATTCAGGGCTGTATGGAATTTGAACCCATGACCACTGCACTAACAATATGTGTAGATTATTGCTTGAATGTATAATTGTGTTAAGTGCAAATGCCTAATAAACATTATTCTATGGTCTTCTACTCTTCCACCTTGGAGGGTGCCTTGTGTACATAAAAATTGAAGTTCAGTGCCTTTAGTAGCTTTTTTGGCTACAAAGATCAACAAAGAATGACAGCCACAAAAAAAATATTTGTAAAGACACCTCTACAATGGTAGGTATACACAACTGACATGTTTGAATGAAGCATGTTAAGTATGAAGGTATGATTGTCAATTTGCTCTTCATTACTTGCAAACAGCTTATATCTATCAGCTTTGAAAACTTCTGTATCCTTGCTTTCAAAGAAAAGCATTTCCCATAAACATTTAAACATTACAGACATAAGCTACCAGCAGATTTTCTTCACATTTTTTGTTACATGAAAAATAAGAAAATAAGAAAATTCTAATCATTACAATATAATGAAATCTCCCATTTTAACCCTTTTAGTCCCACTAGTGACCAAGATGGAATTTCTCCTTACACTATCAGTATCACATCAAGCAGACAAGTAATGAGAATACAGAAAAACATCAATTAGGGAATAAATGGTTGATCCAATTCCGAATTTTACAAACTAACATCAAATAAATTATATGGCAGATAGTAAGGAGAATTACTTATGAAATCTTGAGAGTTAAAGGAGTAAGACACATATGTTAATAATATTTACCAGAAAGACAGCGGATAAATGTAACATACTCCAGTAAAGTATTCTTATGTACAATGATCTTTCAAACTCGTTGAAATTAAGTTGACTTGATGATTCAGATTTTAGTTAAACAAATGTGTAATATCTCTTAACATGGATGAAAAGAGAATGCCACTTATGAATTTTAAAATAGAAAAAGCCAAAAATTCAAAGATGGAATTTAAAAAAGCTACTAAAATATAGCATATCTATTCACAAAGATTTTAATCATTAGCTAGCACACAGAGATATAAAATAGGCTTTGTGAAAAAATCAGGCCATTGAAATTAAAGATTCATGCGAAGCATATGACATCAACTAGTTTACTGATGTTCTCACCTGAATTCATTCTGGAAAGAGAGCTCTGCAACACTTCTGTTTTATCTTCTCAGTCACTTTAATTAAAACATAAAATTGAATTATTTGCAGGTAGGTTAAGGAGGAATTTAAAGGAATGGATATATGTTACATAAAAGGAAACCTCTTACAATAAAATAAAGCAAAAGCATATTACATGTCCATGCTCCTGAACACAGCTACAATAGGTAACTTTGAGCAATTATCTACATATGTAAACCGGGTACAATATACGGTCGTAAAAGAAATTTTATTCTAACCTTCCTCCTTGAAGGATGCCTTATGTAACAAATATATCAAGTTCAGTACCTTCAGAGTCATAAACCGGACCTTTGGGGCCACAAAATAATAAAATAATCAACACGATATTCCAGGCCAACTTATCAAGAGTCAATTGAGTATAGTATCCTAAAATCGTATGGAAAGTTTAAAATGTGCCTCACTCGTGCCACATATACGGATTTATCGTTCTTAATTACTGATTAAAATTCCGAGAGTGTGACTCAATTAATTCAAAAGAAAATATCCAAGCAGGTTTAATACAGAAATGGTTCACGAATTGTAAACTGATAATGTGCTAGCAAAACTCCCCAAAATTATGGTGCTGATAAGAATTTATCGTTCATAATCACTTATGAAATTCCGAGATTGTACCTCAATGAATTCAACAGAAAATATCCAGGAAGGTCACAGAAACGGACTCTCGAAAACTCGAATTCGACAACTGTAAACAACAATTATTTACGCTAACCATGTGCTTACCAGCGTGCTTGTGAGCTCATATTGCCAGGAGCTCGTTTAATTACACGATCACAGCTCGGACGCTTCTTGAAAAATGTGATGACTATCAATTTCAGAGATCAATTCTTCAGTTTCCAGCAGTAGGAAAAAATTATCGTATCGCAAGCATGTTCATCATAACCCGAGCATTAGGTACGCCTCGACTGATGTCGAGCGAAGAGAAAGTGGCTCCATGTTTTGTGAGACAAAACATTTCTTGAAGTTCGAACGAATCGAGCAGAAAGCATGAAAACATAGCGCTGAAAAGTACCATGACCAAACAATGAAATTCACTCCATTTTACCCGTGAGTTTGTTTGCACCACATATTTGCGCTCGATAATTTGATATTCTCAGATGTTTGACGGGTTCTCACATGACAATATTGTCAAAATCAAATTACCGCGTCAGACTCAATGTAAACATGAACATCGCTGACTCAATCTCATTATATTTCAATTTTGGGAACGGCTATCACTTCGTTCTTAGGGTAAAACAACAAATCTTCGACAAAGCGCGTTTTTTTTTTATGAATAATTTAAACTATGCGATAGCTAAGTGAATAGAGAATAATTGAAACTTGCTCACGCCGTTCGTTATCATTTTAAAACTTTCTAGGCAAGACATAATCCGTAGTTTGACATATTTTCCCTAAACACCACGACTGTATTAAATATTCCAAAAGGTAGGACAAGAAATAGTTTTAAGAATAGGAACACTTTGAAATGTTATTCGAGCGATGAACGGGCGCGAGGGTTTTAAAGCGATGAATACAAAGGTCATTGTTTTACCGAAACGTGATTTGAATCATAAACTGAAGCTAGTATCAAACGAAGATTGGGAAAAAAGGCTTGAATTTTTCTGCGCCTCGCGCTGCGAGCTCCGCTAATATTCTTACATACATACACATACATACATACATACATCTTTATTTAACAATGCAGGTTAGAAGGATTGGCAAGACCGAAGTCCTGATGTGGACCTGCCTAACTACAACTCTTGTTACAATCTCTTGAAAAGAACTCACGAAAGTGGTTTATTCTTCATGACATTGTCTCCATTTGTTTCCAAAAGAAAACAAATGTTTACATTATTGTTTTGTAAAGGATATAGCGCGAAATGTGATCTTGCCAAGTGTGTGCCCTCAACCAGTGCGCTGTGCTGTGTGCCTTTACGGTTGGATACTTTTCTGTTGCCATTGCAAACGTGTTGTGTCTTATTCCTTTAAAGTCTGATGCTTGACTTGACGCTTGTCAAATCATTATTCAAAGGAAAAAAACCGCAATTTGTGGAATAATACCTTCTTTGTAAGAGCAACATACTACAATTTGCTGTAGGATGTTGTTAGAAATTGCGTAGACCGACGATTATTACAAAATGTTGTAGCCATCATACAAAATGCGTAACTCGATTTTGTTACAAATTTCTGCAATACGTCTTACAAAATGTCAAAACCGTTTTCACAAAATGCGTGGGTGTTCCGTGTTAGTTTCCCTCTCAATAACCTTCGTATTAACTCTGAAGTCTTCGAAACTGGTGTAAGGGGTGAAGATCACTTTTTAGTCCTCTTGCAGCTTTTCCAACACGTTAACACTTAAGCTCCCATGAGTGACCAAGACGGAATTTCTCCTTACAATATCAGTAAAATATCAAGCGGACAAGTGATGAGAATAATAATAATAATAATAAAAATATCATTTAGGAGATTTTAAGTTGACCTAATACCAAGTTCTCCAAACTAATATCACAAGAACTGTATGGGAGACGGTAAAGAGAATTACTAATGAGATCTTGATGATATCTTGTGAAAAATACGTGCGTATCATCATTGGTGATATAACTCCTCATTTCTGTCAGAGGTTTCTTCTTTAAGAAACGTGTATGAGGAAAAAGAACGCAAGAGATGTTATAATATGTTTTTAGTGATTCTTATTAGCATTATTATTTTTGTCTTATCATTTTTTATTGAACAAGGTCGTAATTTCTCTTCACCCGAGTTATTTTTCTCCAATCTTTGTTTTTCAGGAGTTGTCTTTCTTAGGATTCTTGATTTTGGTTTCATTTGTCATACCATCATAAATAACACCGAAAGAGACATGATTTATTTTTTGCAAGGTAAGATGAATAATGAACTTCAGTAATATTCTTCTCTCGTCTCTGAAAACTGAAATATTTTGGACCGGAACTCGGTGAAATCTTTATAATAGAGCATCCGCCACTCGAACAATCTCAGAAGTAGAGAAAGATTCCATTTATCTCATCTCGGCCTAAATCGGTAATTATTATTACTATTATTATTACTGTTTTTATTTATTTATTTAACACTGGCTCTTTTCATAAATCTTTGTTTTGCAGGGAGTTTCTTGATCTGTTTTCATTCATCAAACGATCAGGATACTGAGCTCGGAAACTTTACATTTTTCAAAAGGTAAGTAACTTAAAAAAACTAAGTCATTTATACTCTATCTCTCTAAATCCTGACATATTTTTGTCATAAACTTGCACAGACTTGGTGATTGGAGATTTTGAAGTGGGGTAAATAGTGTTGAGCGGTAGCCGTAAAATGGCAGAAAAAAGTAGCCGTTAGGCGTGATAATTGACAAATTTCATCCACGAGTCGTAAAAAGTTAATTGTAGAAAATGTTCTTTTAATCGCAACGGAAAGAAATTAGCCGTAAAATGTTCCAAATTACAAACAATAGCCGTAAAAGTCATCACCCCATTGAGACCCACCTAAAACTGGTGACGATTTGGATGTGCAGTGATTCTTTTTTTTATCGTTCAAATCAATATTTTGTTCTTCAGCCGCGTGACTCTTGCTATTTGCATTTAACTTCCTTTCACGGGTTTTATTTCAGTTTCTTGCTTTTAGTTTATGTATGTCACGCAAATAAACACATTAAACTCGGCGCGTGTTTGTTTGTAAGGTAAGCAGCTTGGAAATAAAAACTATAAGAAAAATGTTATTTTCCTTTTCTGAAAATTCAAAAATACTTTGTACGGAAACTTGTTTCAGTGATAGGAGTATAAGATATCCAAGGAATCTCAGAAAATGAGGGAGATTTTCCGCCACAAAGTTCAACAAAAATAAATCTATGAGCCAAAAATATCGGACTACGCCACCCTTTAACTTTTACCTCCAAGATTTGATAAGTAATTCTCCCTTCTTGCTCCCATACATTTCCTTTAAAACAGGTTTAGAGAATTTGATGTTGGGTAAAATGGCATCCTTAAGCTGATCAGTTTCTGTATTCTCATCACCTGTTTGCGTATTAATGCTTTCATATTGCAAAGGAGAAGCTACTTGAAAATTACCTCTACCTTATTTCGTGCGTGTTGTAGGACTAAGTGTAATGCAGACGTGACGTAATATATAGCTGGCTGCGCCCACAGGCAATATGAAGCGAATCCTTACATCTAATATGCTACCTGAACGGGCAACACGGGCCCATCTTTCCCGCTTGGGATCACCTTCTTTGATCCCGAGCAGGGGAACAAATTCTTAATTTTTGTACAATGTCGGCGATGGAGTCGCCAAAAGCGGCAGGAAACAGTCAAGGTTGACGTATTGCAAATACAGTTGGCTTTCTTTTCCAGTTCTTGAGAGAAATGGGTCATTTTGCATTTTTGTCCGAGCGAAATATTTTTGCCATACAGTAAATACTTTATTGACCAAGCATGTTTGGTCAAGAAGGCTGAATAATAGCCTTATTGACGTTTTTTATGGACCTCCACTTTGTCTCGATCCATAGTAACGCGGAAAAAATATTTTCTCGGCGAATATACAGCCATCTTCGCCTCACGCGTGGACAAGAACGAATGTTTATTTGCACTTATGAATGACAGGTTAAGTTTTTCCTTCAGTTTCTTGCTTCTGGTTTCATTTATGAAACGACAAGGATACTGTTTTTAAAGATGAACTGTCTTTCTCTGAATATAGTTCCATGGCTGCCATTCGTAAATTTTCATTTTTCCTGAATGAATTTACATAATTATTCTGTCAGACAAATCAAGCTTCAAGTTTCAAATCATTATTCTAGTTTCAAATTTATTTATTATTCTGTCAGACAAATCAAGCTTCAAGGGTGAATAGAGTTAGTCAGAAAAACACTGGCCTGTTACCACGCATGTCAAAAATAAATCATTTTCCATCGTTTAGGAAACGATGTTCAACAAATTATTCTAGGCGTCGAAAGTAAGTTTCACTGCATGTTTGCCCAAAGTGAGCCTACGCGTTAACTAGTCTTCTTGCAATTTTTCCACCAGGTTAAACTACCATGAGTGATCAAGACAAACTTTCTCCTTACAATATCAATGCAATATCAAGCAGACAAATGATGAGAATAATAATAATAAAAATATCAATGAAGGGATTATAAGTTGATCTGATACAGGGTTCTCCAAACTAATATCATGAGAACAGTACCAGAGACAGTAAAGAGAATTACGAATGAGATCTTGATGATATCTTGTGAAAAATACGTGCGTATCATCATTGGCGATATAACTTCTCTTTTCTGTCAGAGATTCCTTCTTTAAGAAACAGGAATGGAGAAAAAAAACGCAGTAGATGTTATAATATTTTTTAGCAGTTTGATTATTATTATTATTATTATTATTATTAGTATAGGTAATCACATGATTTCGAGCGTAATTTGGAATAAATAAGCACGAGTAAATTTTTTAAAGACTAACAAAACTGCGCGAGCCCATAGGGCGAGTGCAATTTGTGGCCTTTGAAAAAATTAACAAGTGCTTGTTTATTCCAAATTGCACGAGAAAAATCATGTGATTACGTGTTAATAATATACATGGAAAAATACGAGATGGCTTATCATAATTAAATATAAGCAAAGCGCGCGCATCAAGTGCAAAAAACATAGGCGGCCCAAGCTCCAGCTGTGACATAATCATCTTGCGCAATAACAGTCATGGCGGAATTATAAGAGTTTGTATGGGCATATTTACGACCGCCCTCAGGAATAAACAAAATACGTCAAATTCTCAAAAAAAATACCTCGCCTTACTTCCACAGTGTATCATTTGTTATCTGACCGCTTACTTTGATGAAAAGAGCCCATTTTAGCTAGTTGTTCATTTCGAGGTTTTGATTATTTTCGAAGTCAGAGGAAAACCTTGGAAGGATTTATTCCAGTATTCAATTTAGTTCTATCTAACAGCCCGCGGCCACATCAACCTTGACACACGACCGTTGAAAACCAGCTTCGTAACCCTACCTCCTTTTCAAACTGAGCCTCGCCGGGGACCATACCGTCAGTTAAGCGGTCAGATAACAGATGATCATGTAACAGCTGGAGCTTGGGCCGCCTATGCAAAAAA